GATATTGAAAAGAATGCTTTATATCTTTATTAAATTGTGTTGTAGTTTTAACTATTTATGCCCAGTTAGCTCATTTAATATAGCAATGAGCCTTATAATCATAAGGTCTCTCACATTAGAAACTTCAAAGTGCATTCATCCTAACTTTTTTTCTGTGGTAAAGACAACCTTTACTAGTGAATGAAAAATCTGATGCTATTGTGTAATTATTGGTAGGGATATGAGACGCTCATAAACCTGTGTTAAATTTTGTATGATTTTCTTAGTGCTTTTATCACTTTATAAAACATTTATGATAATAAATCTTGATCAGCAAAACAGGTTGACCTCAGGGATTGCTTCTATTTGTAACAAATTGCTTTTTCTCTTTGATAATGTCATATTTAAATATCATTATAGATAACCACGTTGTCGCATTATGTAAACCCGTTCGAAATACACACATTTATGGAATCATTAAACTTTTATTACAACCAATTATATATTTTTGTAAACGAATTAGATTTGTTTTTTTGTTTTTTGTTTTAGATGAACTTCCTTGCATCGGTTGGAGGCGACGATTACAAGCAACTTACCACGGCTATTTTAAAACAACTATTGACTAAAAAGGTATGCTTGTTATATTCTTTGTATGGCAGGAAACAAAAGAAATCCTTTTCGTCTCTTACGTCCTGCAAGGTGGTTATAGGTAATTTTCTATAATTATTTATCTTCATATTTAGTTGAATTAATAAATTTGATAGTTTTTAATATTACATTTTGTTCATGTTTTGTTTAACATTATTAACATAAAATTTGTTTTCAGCTGCAATAAAAAAAAAGTTTGAAAACGCTAATGATAAAGGCATTAAAGAAAGAATCGGCAGCTTTCTGGCTACGGCCATTGATAGAGACGGCGGAAGAAAGAACAGAACCGCAATTGAGCAAAGCCCACTTTTGAGCGATGAAAATGAATGTCGCAAAGATTGTATCTGATAGTGAGAGTGTAATGCTGTAATATATAAATATATATATATATATATATATATATATATATATATATATATATATATATACATATATATATATATATATATATATATATATATATATATATATATATATATATATATATATTATATATATATATATATATATATATATATGTATATATATATATATATATACATATATATATATATATACATATATATATATATATATATATATATATATATATATATATATATATATATATTTATATATATATATTTATATATATATATATATTTATATATATATATATATTTAAATATATATATATATATATATTTATATATATATATATATATATATATATATATATATATATATATATTTATATATATATATATATATATATATTTATATATATATATATATTTATATATATATACATATATTTATATATATATATATTTATATATATATATATATATATATATATATATATTATATATATATATATATATATATATATATATATATATATATATATATATATATATATATATTATTGAAAGTTTATTTAAGTTGTTATATTAAGGTTTACTTTTTTTTTTTTATTTGTATCAGTTTAATATAATTTCTAATAGATTTATTAGATTTAGTTTGTAAAAAGTCTTATTTTTTCAAAGCGTTCCTAGATTATTATCGCCTTCTAGACTATAAGTCAAGTTATACAACTATAGTCTAAACTATTTGCAAAAATATATATACTATAGTCTATACTAAAGACTGTATTGTTCTTTCGGGATAAACAGTTCGTCCCTTCTGTATTATTTATAAAATGCTCTATCTAATATATAAAATAAGTACAAAAAAGAATATATAAATATAAAATGTTCTACCTGATATAATATATTATAATATATTATATCAGGTAAAACATTTTAAATGTTAACATTGCAATATTGGCACAATATTGAAAATAATTTCGCGCCAATATTGGGGATATAATACTGGCCAATATTGGTGTAATATTGTTTTTAATGTTTAACTTGTTCTATCTAATATGTAAAATAAATACAAAAAAAAATTATATATAAATAAATACAATGTTTTATGTAATATAATTTATATATTATATTACATAAAACATTTATCTACATATAATATTGGCCAGTATTATATCTCCAATATTGGCGCGATATTATTTACAATATTGTGCCAATATTGTAAACGATATCGCGCCAATATTGTAATGTCAACATTTTGCTAATATTGGCCAATATTGAATTTACAATATTGGTGCAATATTGTACCGCCAATATTGGCCAATATTGAATTTACAATATTGGCGCAATGTTGTACCGCCAATATTGGCCAATATTGGCAAAATGTTGACATTGCAATATTGGCGAGATATAGTTTACAATATTGCGCCAATATTGTAAACAATATCGCGCCAATATTGCGCCATAATTGTTTGCTACTTGGGTAAAGTTTTTAAACTTATCATTATTTTTTTGTTTTTTAAAAAAGTTATAAGTTTAAAAATCTTAATCTTTGTTTACATATCATGTAATACATAAAATGTAAACAAAGAATAAGGCTTTTAAACTTATACCAATGATGGTATATATTAAAAAAGATTAGGATTTAAGTTTAAACCGTTACTTTGGAATATTTTATTAACTGATTGTATCAGATGCCAATGTTGTTAATACACCATATATATAAAAATATACAAATGACATTATTATACTTTTAAGTAAAACTTTATTGGCTAAGCCAATACAGTTTTTGACAAAATATTTTTAGAATAAAACTATTATTGATATTTTTAGAATAACATTATTATATTTTTAGAATAATATTATAATTTTATTTATATTTTTAGAATAATATTATTATTGATATTTTAGAATAATAATATTATTGATATTTTTACAAGAATAAGCTTATTATTAATAAGCTTATTCTTGTAAAAATATCAAGATATTTTTATAATAAAAAGTTTATTCTTTTAAAAGTATCTTGTTAGTGTTTTTCTAATATACAATAATATAATTTTAAAATACAGTAATATAATTTATGTTTTTTATTATTTTTTTTATTGCTTTTTTTGATAGAAAAGTTGTTGTACCTAAAGCAGAACTGATTTGATAACAGTTATTTTTATTGACTGTTGACAATTTCAAGATGTTTTTTTTTTTGATTATATAACTTTTTTGTTATCTTTAGGCCAATTTGTACTGACTACAGCTGGTAAGTTATTATAGTATAACTTTTATTAACCATTAAAGAAATATAAATAAATATATGTATTTCTTACTTATTTAATTATTACTTATCATGTATGGATTTCCCATTTGCTGCAATATTAATTTTTTAATTTTAGTATCTACCTCATGTGCTACACCTGGTAAGTTACACAACTCTTAATTTTTAATGTGCAAAATTTACAATATGTATAACTTTAGTTCCTTAGTCAGCTGCTGCAACTAGTAATTTAAAAAACTAATAAATTTAATATGTGTATGCATTTCTCGTTATTTGCAATATTGATTTTTTTTTACAACTTTGCAATTTTAGTATCTATCTCTTGTGCTACACCTGGTAAGTTAAACAACTCTTTTTAATGCGTACAAAGTTCTCATTGATTGTAATATTGATTTTTATAAGATATATGTTTTTTCATTAGGTTGGTCGGTTAAATATGATCATTTAAATGAGAAAATGTGTACTAGCGCAACTGAATACATGTAAACTCGAGAAAATGAATACTCGTGCAAATGTATACTCGTGCAATCTGGTAAAACAATTCTGTATTGTGATTTCTCTTTTTTAATAATTGCATGTGAAAATGTTGAAAATATCATTTCTATGTGTTTTCTTTTTTACGTAGGTTGAGGGAAAGGTGAAAAACTATCCCTCTCCTCAAATTGTACATCACTAATGTATGTTTTATAGTAAAAAAATATTGCTTTATGTAATACAACGATATTTTCAATGCTAATGTATGTTGATTATTGTTATAAAAGATTATTTTTCCTTTTTACCAATACATTTGATTATTAAAATAAAGATGACGTTATTTTTTGTCAGGTGGGTGGGTGGGGGGGAGGTGGTGCATTATACTCCCTTCATTTAAAGTCAACGTATACATCAATAATATATGTTGAATAGTAATAAAAGATTGTTTTTACTTGTTAACAATACATTTAATTATTGTAATAAAGATTTAATTATTTTTATATTTTGTTATGCGTCAGGGTGAGGAGGGGGGGGAGGGGAAAGGGCGGTGCGACATACGCCCTCCCCTAAAGTTAGTGTGTACATCACTAATGTATGTTGTATAGTAAAAAAATATATTTTTACTTTTTAACAAAATATTTAATTACTGTAATAAAGATTAAATTATTTATTAGAAAAAAAATAATTATTTTGACCACAGTTTCTTTAACAATTCCATATATCTTAAACTTGGTACTGAAAATGTTATAACTTTTTTTAGATTTGTTCGTTTTTCATAATTTTTTCACCTTTTTAATACTGTATTAAAGACTTTTCTTATGATATATAGCATTCTACTATATGATCAGTTTAAAAATTTCAGTGCGCGTACCTATATATATATATATATATATATATATATATATATATATATATATATATATATATATATATATATATATATATATATATATATATATATATATATATATATATATATATATATATATATATATATATATATATATAAATATATATATATATATATATATATATATTTATATATATTTATATATATATATATATATATATATATATATATATATATATATATATATATATATATATATATATATTGATATTTAACGTTATTTTGTCTTATAATAATAAAACAAAACTCATAGTCGAAAAAGAGTGCTCAATATTAAAAAGATATTTCAAATAGAGCAATATACATATATATATATATATATATATATATATATATATATATATATATATATATATATATATTAACGAAGAAAAAACAACTTTTTCTATGGTTTAAGTTTCATGCCTATACGGCAATCATCAGCCATTGAATACAAAATCAAAAATCAAAAAACCCGCTAAATGTTACAAAATACTGTGTAGTGGGATTTTAACGTCGCTAAGACACATCTTGGTTGCATCCAAAGAAAAACAAAATATCAGCTAATCTCCGGTGTCAAAAAAAGATAAAAAGAATTTATTTTTGTGTCTGCATTTTGAAATCAACTCATTTCGTTTATTTAATAAGTTGTCACCTTTATATGGTAAAATGAGGAATTATTCAAATAGGCAAAGATGGCAAATTTTTGACGAGGCTTTATAAGTATTGCAACGTTTTACAATTTTCCACTTAATTAAGGGTGTAAACATTTTGTGTTTTATGTCCCAAATTTCTTTAGACAACTCGGTAACTCATTTCGTTTATTTAATAAGTTGTCACCTTTATATGGTAAAATGAGGAATTTTTCAAATAGGCAAAGATGGCAAATTTTTGACGAGGCTTTATAAGTATTGCAACGTTTTACAATTTTCCACTTAATTAAGGGTGTAAACATTTTGTGTTTTATGTCCCAAATTTCTTTAGACAACTCGGTATCATTTTTGTATTTGTTAATGTTAAAAGATTTTAGGTGGTTCGCATACCGAGATTGGAATGGAGTTTCACATAAGCCAAAATATACTTTTTCTTTGTCAGGTTTATTTGACGACACAGTGGCTTGATAAACCATGTTTTTTGTCAAGCACTGATTGGTAATGGGACAGATGAATTTGTTGATACAATTGCATGTTTTTCCCTCATCTTTATCTTGGCTACACAATATCCTGTGGTTGTGCGAATTAATGATGGATTTGATATTTGGCATGCATGAGCAGCTTATTTTAATGGTATTTCGAGTAAATATTATACGAAGTTTGTGACCAACCGGGAAATGTAGGACTACCAAGTTCAAAAAACAACTGCCTATTTTTGTTGCAACATTGT